ATGTGTATTATTCAACATCTACATATAATAATATGACTATCAAATGCTGGAGGAAGTGAAGTAGAATAAGTTAATATTTCATATTAGGTATTATCTATAGTAGATAAGTCAAGAAGTAGAGATATTATCCAGAGTTATGACAGTAACGACTACAAGAGATGAAAACTGAAATAGCTGAAGGAGGTTTCCTCTCATGAATAGGCCTGGGGATGTGAAGTGATAGGGCCCAATCCATCACTTTCCATCATAAACTCCTCTGTAGAATCTGGTTTGGTGCATGTTGTAATTTGATAAAAGTGAATAACTGTATAAAGGAACATTAATAACACTTCAGCTTGAAACAGGTACTCATATGAAATAGGAAAGTAACATTGTATATATCTAAATGAATTTCAAAAGGGGATAGGTGAAAAATTGGTTACAAAAATAACACAGTGGAGGGTTAAAATGTACTCAAAGAGGGCAATATTTAAAGCACTGATGCTTTTAATATCTAATAGTAAATACTGAAACATAGCTCACTCTTGGAAAGTTTTAACTTATTTCTAACCTAGAACTCCAATACTAAAATTTCTGATCATTTCATTCTAACCTTGGTTAAAAAAAAAGACAGAAATGACACGATCTTATATAGAATGATATGGGATATATAGGTTTTATATAGGATGATGTAACAGACAGATATTTGGCAACAGCTAGTTTAGTTGTTAGTTATTCTTCCAGCAAGATTTCTTTTAGATAAACAGTCCCAGAAATGCAATGTAGGATGATGGAAAGTATTTATGTTTTAGAGTCTGCAGCTTAATGCTAAACCTAATCTTCTGAGCCATATGAACTTAGGAAATATTTTGTGACTTACTTTTTTCCTCTGAAAAATGAATTTCTTTCAAATCATTTATTGAGCACCTAATATAAAGGAAATGTTATGTTGTATTATTCTCATAGTAACTTTATGAGCTAGAAATTACTTTCCACATGATTTTTCCATTTCTTCTGTGTCTCCTGTGTTATTTTCAGAAATAAATTAGATAATTATAAAAAGTGTCAACAAGTTTTCCTCCTCTCTTTCCCTTTCCCAGGAATTTTGGAAAAATGCAGATAGTAAAATAGAAAAGACACTGTTTGTTGTCTCTTTTCTTTGGATCGGTAGCGGTACCAGAACAAAAGAGATGGGAATAGAGGAAAAACTTCGTACATTTCATAGGATTTAGATGTACTGGAAATGTCCAGACCCCCTGCAGGCTTTTAGCCACAAGATTGCATCACCTATCATAAAACTCTAAAGTCATGCTTTTGTACTGAGTTCACATTTACAGTATTAATAATGCCTTCAACACAAGTCATTTCCAGGGAATTAAGTCCTTGCAGTCAGTGGGTTAAATCCCCATGAAATAACCTGCAGGTGACCCAGTTGCATTGACCTCAAGTATAGAATTTCAGATCAATAGCTGCAGTACTTGGATTCTGAAATATGAAACAATCGCTAGTGTTTTTGTTACCCCAATGGGTGTTATCAGACAGGAAATCACTATGGCAATTGTTGGTTCTTATCATATTAATGCTTGTTTTTGGTCCAAAAAGAAACTACTTAAAAAAGTAAATGCCTTCTGTTCACTCTTCTTGGAATATGTAATGATGACTTTCAAACATATAATAAAAATTAACAGTATTTCAAATAGCACAAATGATCATTAATTGCTTGTACACGAAAAAACATTTCTTCTTCAGAAGCAAAGCATTCCAGTTGGATGTAAAATTCCTTTTGGTCTATTCACCTTTTCACTCTGTCATGAAAGGGTAACAGAAGATCTCTCAATTTGGGGCCAAATAGAAATCTTAAGCCTTCACAAACTGGGCTTGGGGGTAGTGAGACAGTAAAGGAAAATAACGTTATAGCTACATGAACCATGACAGTGACTGGCATGGAGTTTTGCTAGTGGCTAACCAGAGACCAGACATCACTTCAAGCATTTACACCAACAGAGGGAATGATTTTGATGCAGGGAACTGGTTACCCATGTGATGAAGAAGCTGAGAGCCAAATAAGGAAGCCTGAAGTCACCAAGAAACCAGCCACTGCAGGAAGCCACTACCAGGCTGGAGGGACAAAGGGAGGAGGGTCCACATCACCAGATGGAAGATGGAACCAGAATGGGCTGAAGACATGGAGGACATCATGGATCCTCAGGTAGAGAAGCTATCTGAGGCAGGGGTGGGCAAGGGGTAGGGGGTGGAGGATAAACTAAAAAAACTGGTTGGTCTTTTCCTTCCCTCTCCCTCTGCCATCTATCACCAGAGACTTCCACTGACTGTAGCAGCAGGAAGCCAGCCCTCAAGAGCACCTCTGCGATACAGCTGGCTAGGGTCAACCTTCCACAGGTACAGAGCAAAGAAGTGATGGATGAAGATGGTCAAAGAAGCCTAGAGCCAGCCTATATGGACATCTCCCCTGCAGAAAGACCTCACCTGGCTGGTTCCTTTTCATAAAGAGCGAAGAATTCATGGGCAGGTCTGTTGAGCTTCTCGTGGTATAGATTTTACAAGAGGCAGCGAGAGCTATGATAAAGCCCAGCACTTCTCTGGGACTGGATATGGATGTCCTTATATTTTGGAAAAACTTTTTTACTCAGTTAGTGCACCGTGGAGTAAAAGTGCCTCCTCTGGTGTGGTTTTGCCATTTCCAAAGAACTATGTGGCCATTCTGCCATTGCTTAAGGATATTTAAACATGAACTACAACCTCAAGCTGAGTTGAGAATTCAAGAACTAATGTCAAGGTTATGTCAAAAATGCATGGATTAGCAAACATATGTCCCTTTCCAACATCATATTTCTCAGCCATATCAGCCTCTTGGTTAGTCCCTCCATTTGACATATTAAAAATACTACATACTACATAAGTTAGGTAAGGCAAGCCTGCTGAGGGTGATTCTCCTTGCCTTGAGCAATGAAGGAAAAACTCCCGTCTCTTTGCTTCTAGATTACTTTCTCAAACAAAGCTCATCTGGAGAAACACTGTTAGCATTTGTTCAGTATCTTACATCTTTAAAGGACTTTCTAAAGCACTCTCTCATTCATTTTCTCCATAGCCTATGTGATAGGTGTTGGAAAAAATCCTCTCAATAGCCATCAGTCACAACAGCATGCTGCCTACCTCAATTCTGCTTTGTTAAGTTCTAACCATGCCAATAATTCTGAAATTCTGTCCAGTTTGGAGTCAAGTCTAGGATAGACCAGAGATGGTCCTCCTCTTTATGGAAATTCAAAGGACACAACCTCTCATGGGTTTGACGGCCTGCTTCCCACATCTCTTAGACTAAGGGAATGGCTTGCCTAATATCTTCAGAATCAGGTTAACTAAAGGAAGCTTAAACGATGGGTATCCTACATCATAGCCCTCAAATCAGCACATGCACAAGTATATTTCCAAATGAGACAATTCTCACTTAAAAGTATGGCGACCACAATGTGAAATTTGTATGAATTCTCTAAATATACATAATCAGAAATATGTACCCAAATGCAAAAGCCCCCAGTGTCTTACCAGAACACTGTCTTCGCATTATGAGTGATCTTCCGTGCTTGAGTGTTCCAAGATGGAATATCAGAATAAACTGTTAGGGAAATTCATGCTTGTTTATTTTTTCTTTATTCCTCCTTTTAAAAAGAAGTGAAGAGAGCCTGGGAACTATAAAATACTGTTCTTGAGAAGCAGAGGGCTCATGACATAAAAACTCTGACAGGGGATATGAGCTCCAGCCTCACTTCAAAACCCATATTTAAAGCACTGCTACTCTATTCAACAACAACAACATCTGAAATTGTGAGCAGGCAGCAAGAGAAAGACCTTGGGAGAATAAGCTCTGCTTTATTCCTCTTGATATCATTTTGCCAGAGCTTTAAACAAGCGTGAAGACTTTTGTGAAATGAAAAACAGAATAAAAGGGCATATTGAGGGGCTGTTTCCAACAGGCTGCCCATATCCCACTCCCCCTAATGCGAACACTGTACACACAGCCATCCAAGATCAGACCTCCTAAGTAGAGCACTTTTTTTTCTTGGAGATTATTCTCATTTGGACTTTAATTAAGCTCCTGCCAGGCTTGCAAGCTTTTAAATTTTACCTTTCTTTCTTCTTTCTTTTTCCTCCTTGAATCAGCTTGCTTGCCAGGAACCTTTTTCCAAGCTGTCACAATCATAGTAAGTACACCCTAAGACGTTAAATTTAGAGATGTACTAATCATTGCTGCTCCGAGAATCAATAGCAGAAGTTTCCTTGCATTTGGAAAGATTTTCATTCATTCATTCATTCGTTTTTACGTGTGTGTGCGCACGCGCGTGTGCGTGTGTTATGAATGAGAAAATAATAGAAAGGAAGTTTCAGGGAGTATACAACGACTATTGGCTAGTGAGTGATACAACTCAACCTCCCATAAGGCCACCAGCTTAACAGAAGAAACTTTCCATTACTTAATTTAATATTCACACTGTTTGTAAGCAAATTGTAGCCAACTCTTTACTAGTGTTGGTGGGTGTAGGGTGAGCAAGCCTTGAGAAGGTGATGCCTCAGCTGATGATTTAACACCTCTTTAATGAAATGTAATAGTTAATTCACTTCGGTTCTTTTTCAAAATCTCCTTGAACTCAATTAAACTCACGGTGATTCTGAAAGTATAAAGGTAGGGGCTAGGGAGGCAGAAGGTGGCCCCTGTAAAGCAGATTGCATGAGAAGCCATTTTCATTTGAGGAGGCTTAGTTGAAAACTGGCCACCCTAAACAGGATGCCTTCTTCTTTTTTTCTTAATTTTTCAAAACACTTAGATAATATTGCAGAAATAAGAATAAGCCATCAAAAACACCAAAACTAAAATGAAAGCTGTGGAGCATTGGGGATATTATCATCACCATGATTGCTATTATCACCATTCTTATTATTTACTTAATAGTAATTCCACACTGCCAGGTTATTGCACCAACCGCTCCTGTCTGTAAGGTACTTACTGATCGCCTCCACAAACCGCTCAAAGAAGCTGTAAGGGAAGAGCGGCTCAGGCAGCTCCCGGAAAAACATCTTCAGTGCTCCAGTGACAACGTGGATGTCCTCCCACTGGCTGTCGTCCAAATTCAGCTTCTCTTCTGGGAAAACACGAGGAGAAATGGAACAACTGGTTTTAATGAAACAATTACAAGACACTAATTATTATGTTAATGTTTGCCTACTATCATCAGCAACCGTTAACAGCCTTCTGCACCTAGAGGTTTGGTGCTGTGCATGGTTTTTTTTTTTTTTTTTTCCTTTTTTCCGTAGGACGGGAACATTTTCAATGGAATACCATCTGTAGGAGTGCAGCTAACAAAAAACAAGAGACACAAAGAGACAGTGCCATTGACACAGTATGTCAGATACATTTATTCCCATAATGCATCAGTATGAAAATTAGCATCACAGCTCAACATGATTCAAAGCTATTTGGTTTTGAGGCCGAGGGGCTAAGAGTTGCCAATGATGGCCGGCTCAAGGGACCGGCCTAAAGGCCTTGCTGAGCCAACAGGAGACATATGCTAAACATGGCAATAGAAAATGAGTTATTGCTTTACATGTGTTAGTCTTGCTATGTACAAGGGAATAATGGGTAACACTTTTTTCCTTTTTTCACTGAATATAAAGTCAGCAAGGAATAGAATAGTGAGTGAGAAAGGATATTAATTCCTTCTTCCTGCTTCAAAAATATCTTTTTTTAGTTTTCATCTCAGCAAGGAAAATGTGCCCAGCAACAATATTAGACAGACCCCTGTTGGCCTACGTAGGCTATGCAAAGCTGTCAAAAATGATAACACACTAAAGACAACCCACAAGTGCTTATCAACTCCTCTTAGAAATAACGGAAATGTTTGCTTGGGAAGCTTGAGTGAGTTGAGACATTTAAATATTAAAGAAAATAAAGGCCACAATAAAGTTCTTAGAAGAAATAAAGAGACGCTGGGCAATTATTTCCTTCCTTTTCGTCTTCAGTATGAAAGTCTGGAATCATTCTCACCCAAAAAGTGGATGTAATAGGGTCTGAAAGTCACATCTTTGCATACAACTAAAAGGAAGCAGGCATAAAAGCATTGCTGCTGATCCACAGCGTTTGTCTTTCTGAACGTACAACACAGAAGAGATTTTGGATTCTGGGCTTAATGAAAACTAAAGCTAATCATTCTGGACAACCTGGGGGTTAATGGGAAAGCAGAGTATCCTGGCAAGAACTTAATAGGTATTTGGTCAACTAGAATTGTGTTTCCTTACCGACGTCCGAAGCTCACATTCAGATGCTTGCTTGTGTCAGTTTTATGAATGCAGAGGAGAACTGACACCAAAAATGTAAGAAAAGCTGAGAATTGTCACTATAGGGGATCTCTGCATGGGCTGTTCTGCTAATAGTCTTCATGTCCTTTTAAAAATATTAGCCGAAATCTTTATCAGATCTTTTTTTCTAAATGGACTATTACTCCCAGGGCTAGTAAGTTATGTTCCTGCTCAATTGGCTGTTTGCAAAGAGAAGGAATGAAGGTGAATCTGTTTATTTCAGACGGGCTATTTTCTTCTCCCCTTTCAGCCTTCATTCCTACCTCGGTCATAACACAATAATTTGATCCACAACAAAATCAGCAGAGGAGACCTTCTTTCTGCCCTGCAATCATTTTTGATTGATTGTATTTCAACAATTAGTCTTTTATTTGGCTACACACTATTGAAATAGGACGACAGCATCTTAGCAGGCCAGCTTTAAACAGTCAACTGTTAACAATAGCATCAAAAAGAGAGACCTGATGGGGTTTACTGTCACTTTAAAGAACGGGTTTTTCACGTTGTTGAAATCTGTCAGATATTTTGAAATGTCCCTCTCACTATGGTGCCACACCCCCTGCGTGCCCTTATAATAAAATTGGTTTTACTCCTGATTAAATCATTTTCTCCCTACCCACTACCATACTTCTCATAATGGACCTGTGCGTTCTACAGCTGGTGTTCTTCCCATGGTACCAATTCTTACTTTATCTTTTAAGCACTTCGCTGCGAAGATCTCATGCAGAGTGCTTATGTTTTGTTAAGAGCTTCATTCTTAGAGAAATAGCTTAACACATGTTCTAAAAATGTTGTACAACTTATTGCTTAAAGCACATTTAGAAAATGTATAAGTACAGTAGCTTTGGCACTGAACTTTAAGTGGAAACCTAAATAAACACATACACACACACAACACACACACATGTTCACACACACAACTATCTCTACCAAAAATTTATCACAAAAGTCCAATACAAATTGTCATTTTGGTGCATAGGTTTAAGATCGTCAAATGAAAGTGTTCAGCAGGTAAAAAAAGACAATGATTTTATCTTGAGCAAGAAAACAATAAGAACAAATAATTGCTTAACCAAAGGCAGATGCCAGTAAACATCAGTTAATTCAATTGACTGTGAAAATGAAATATTTTAATAGACATAAAAAGATAATTTACCAGTCAATAAATACCATTTGATTATATCCACTCAAAATACCATATAACATATCAACTTGTGTTACTTAAACTAGCATTCCTACTATGTAGTCTTCACTTTAAAAAGATAATTTGTAGTCCCTCAACAAGTAGCTTCAATAAATAATATGGCAAGTGGTTGGAAAGAGTCTTTTTGTATATAATACCTAATTTTTATATTAAGATTTTTTGTGAACAACCAAGGTTAAGATTCCTTGTAAACCAGAGGCCTTTAAGGCATATTTTTCAAGGCCACTGTGACTTATTTAAACATGCAGTTGTGTCCATATTTGCACACCTTCTCATGAATCCAATCAGTTCTGAAGATGAAATGAAGATGAAGTGATACCTGTCTCCACGTTAACGGGTATCATTATGAACACATTTGTATTACCTGATAGGCATTTTCTAACTAATCTGTTGGCAGTGATGATGTCTTCCGCTTCCCCTCTTTTCAATAGAGCAGGATTTCTCAATAGTGAAGCACTGTTGACATTTGGGGCTGAGTACTGCCTTGTTATAGGGTCTGTCCTGTACATTCTAGGATATTTAGTAGCATCCCCGGCCTCAGCCCACTGGATGCCAGTAGCACTTCCCAGGGCTGCTGATGAAAAATATCTCCAGATATTGCCAAATATCTCCTGGCAGTGAAAAGTTATCCCCAGGTGAGAACCACAACAGTGGAGCCTGTAAGAGTCTATAAAAGTTACTCAATAAATATCGATTTATGAAGTTTACCTTAGGTGGGCAGAGAAATAGAAAACTAGATATGTGAATACTGAGATTTCTTTAATATGAACCTAAGAGTTGGTAATTATTATTGACAGAATAAAAACCTTTTACAGAACAAAATTCAAAATTCATATGACTATATTTCAGGAAGCTTTGCAACAGGAAGAATAACCAACAGTTATTCAGTGCTTACACCATACTAGGGACTATGCTATGCACTTTCCATTTATTATCTAATATAATTTTTTTCAGTAAGACAATGAGGTACATGCTATTGTTATCATCACGTATTTTACAGATAGGAAAAATGAGGCATGGGTAGATTAAATAACTTTTCCATGGATGACAAGTAATAAACCCAGGATGTAAGCCTCCCCTCAAAACCACTATGGTCTGACTAATCTTGGCTGGAAGAAGCTGAAAGGATAAAGGCAAATAAATAGCAATTGCCAGTGGTAGTAGATTGACTATTACTTCAAAGATAGTGATTTTTATATTTTATCCCTAAATATCTTACTTGAGGCTATGCTTTTACCTGTAAACTTACTCTGATTTTTCATAATTACTGATTTATAGAAGGAACAGATTCTTATATAAACAGATATAAAGCGAATTGGCAATAAAAAGAAACTGCATTAGGAATGGGACAGAAGATGTAGCAAATTGTTACGTGGTGATGGAGTGAAGAGGAAATATGATAGGGTGAGAAAGAGATTATACAAAACACCAGGTCTGGATTTACCACTAATTCATTGTATATCTATTTATTTATTTGTGAAATGAAGATATTCAGAAGGATAGTTGTTGGTATCAAATGAGAAAATGTGTCTGAAAAACATTTGGAGAGTAAATATATATATATATATATCCAAGACACCACTATGATAAGGAAAGTGAATAAAGCCCAAATAGGCAAAATACATTAGGGATTAAAGCAATGGAAATACTGAGCAAACATCATAAACCATTCTGGTTGTTTTAGAGGATTTACCTCAGTGTGATGTAATCTGTCATATGAACTCAACAAAAACTTTACATGCTGGAGTTCAATACTGGTAAGAAGTCTGGTTGAATCAAGATATCTCAAAATTATCATGCTGATAATCTGTGCTGGTTTCTCCTGGCCCTCTACTTAGGCTACCGTAAATTCATTTTGGTCATGGCTTTTTGCTTAAAGCATTTAAACAGAATTGAAGATAGGTTAACCTCCAGAATCCAAAGTCACTATGTGACTTTTATGATATCACAAAAAATATATTTAAATATTGTATCCAAGCATTCAAGTGCATCTTGAAATGTCCTTCCTTGAAGGGACTTTTGTGTATTTTATTTTTTAAATAAAAACTTACCTATATCCAGCTAAAAACTATTATATTTAAAATTTAAAAATTTTGACAATAGCTATTAGGAATAATCTTTCTTAAAAAGGAGAACTGAAGGATGGACCTTTTGATAGCCACAGTAGGTCATGGTAATTTCCATGGAAAAAGGCACATTTAAATATCACTAATAGCTTAATCACCACTTTCCTCTTGTATTATGTATTGCTCTATAGACTGGTGTAACCAGAAGTTGCAATATCAAGACCGACTTTAACTAAACTCACTGTGTTAACCTAGTATTGGTTGAAATGCAGCTGAAGATAAACTTGGACTATCCAGAATAGAATAGTTATATAAGAATAAAGAGGCACTTCTTTGTGTATTGAAAAACAAGTACATTTTTACCTTGTAGTTTTTAAAGCCCTTTACTAACTTTTCTTTTACTGTTGCAATAAAAAAATAAAGAGGAAAAGACAGCCCAACTTTCACAGGATATGGAGAAAATAGCTCTGATTTCATTAATATAGTGACAAGAACCTATTACATCATGAAACTCTCA